ATCTCCCTTTGTGAAGAGTCAATTTCTCCTCCAGCATAGATGCATACTTACAATAGATCCTTATCAACTCAATGAGGCTCAAACCTGCTTGGCATTTTCTCACTATCTTTCACCACATCCTTTAGGACTTATCACTCACCACACCCTTCTGCAGTATTCTTCCTTTGCATTTGTTTTTCTTGCTGCACGCCGGAACTTTGCTGTTGTTCTTTCCACAAGTCACACTCTGCCTTTTTTTCTAAAGTGTAAGCCTTTTACAGAAAGACACCATTCAATAGATCTGTTCATCTTCAATAGATTTTTTTTCGATTTTAATCTGGAGTCTAACTGAGCCTTGGCAAATAGGAACTTCCGTGCTGCAGGCTATGAACGCATGCATTCTTCCTGTACCTTCAAAATACATTTGTCAACCTGAACCTTTAATTGCTTAGCTATTGCTCTTGTCATTATTTAATATGATGACTAGTACTTTTCTGGGACTGGCGCTAACAACGACGCTCATCAAGGACCACGCTTCCTTTGAGTGTGGCCTGATCGTGCCCTTTTGGGGTAGGTTCCAGGAGTCAGTCCTTCCCTTATCCCAGTTCTAAGGCAAGGGGACCGGCGCGTGAACGTGTCCTCTGTGGTCTGCTCTTCAGTTCCTCCAGAAGTCCGTGTGCCCAAATAAATAGAGATCAGTAGAATGTCTCCAGGAAGTCATCCCGCGTCCTAACATCGAATGCTGTCAGCATATCTGAGCCAGGGACCTATGCTGTTATGCAGCAGAGTTCTTTGGCGACTTCTAGAACCTCACAGGCCTCCGCTACTTGGTTACCACATAGAGCCAGGCGGGACCCGAGGTCGCCCTCAGGTCCTGGTCTGGTCGCCTCGGTTCTGTGGTTCGGTGTGGGTGACCTCTCCCGGAGACATAATAGTTCTCAGGGAGAACTCACAGCACGCGGAGGCCAGCAGGAGTCCACCCGCCGCGTCTCCACAGTCTCGGCAGCGGTCGCAGGACGCGTGCCGCTCGCGGGGCCGCGGGTCGCGGGTCGCGCGCAGGGCGATGGGGCGGCGCCGAGCACGCTCCCTGAGCCGCCCGCCCCCGCCCCGCGGCCGCCGCACGCGCGCGCCCGGACTGCATTTCCCATAGGCCTGAGCGGCGCGGCCGTGCGCGCCCTCGAGGCTCGAGCACCGCCCAGGCCGCGGGGCCGCGCCCCCGCCCGAGCCCACCAGTGCGCGCGCCGCGCCACAGAGCCTTTGAAAGGCGGCCGGAGGCGCGGGCAGGCCAGGGGGCGATGGCGTGCCTGGGCCACCTGCTGTGCGTGCTGGCTTTGCTGCTGTGCGGGCCCCCGAGCCCCGGGCTATCCAGACCCCATAAGCGCGGCCCGAAGAAACCCATCATCGGTAAGGAGGCCCGGGACCACGGCTAGGACTCGCTCAGGGTGGGGACGGGTGTCGACAAGGGGCAGCTCGCGAAGCTGTCACCGCTCCGGAGAGGTGTGCGGATCCCCGACGCCCGCTGTTTCTCATCAAAGCAGTCTGGGGTGGGTCCCATGAACTTTAGGAAGCACACAGCTCAGGCAAAGTCTGGATTTGAGGCTTCCGCTTTTGAGCGAAAAGAATTTTAGGGAGAGCGAGTTGTGAAGCCGAACTGGGATTTATCAAAAGTGTTAAGACTCAGGGTAAAAATGAAAAGCATGGAGTCTACACAGAAGACTCCACTTCTAATGACCAAGTGGTCATTGTTCACGAGGTGTCCACAGGACCTCCCTCTCTATTCCTGTTCTCTTTTTCCATGATGATAATTAAGATTATAAGGAGGATGCAGAGATGTTCTGAATAGGATAAAACCAGAACTTCAAGGGTTGAGCAGAGTAAGGGGTTAGGATATGTCTTACTGCAAATGATGTGAAACTCCTAGAAAATTAAAGGTGTACCACAGAGAAGGGAGAAACACTCTTATAAACATGAATCCACTCTTGAGTGTTAGCTGGTGGGAGGATTCAACCGACTCCAGTGTGAGGGGTACTTTTCCTGCCCTGTGTCCCCACCATTTTCCCTGCCTTTCTTGTCCCAGAAATTCTGCACATGGTTAAATTTACTCACATTTCCTTGGTTGAGGACATAAATGAAGACACAATAAATAAAATAGAAAAGTGAAATAGGTAAGGAATTAAAACGTGGCTTGGACTTTGCCGTTCTTGGCATCAGGTGACAACAGTGGGTCTGAGGATCCGAATGCCAGTTCTATTTGAACAGCGGAGCATGTAATAGTTTCCAGCATATTTGCATTTCAGATGGTAAAATTGGTTTGCAATCATGGCAGACATTTGAAAAGCCACCAAGGAGAGAAATTTTGGTTAAAATTGGACAAAAGGTGTTTATGGGTAAGCATAAGTAGGATTATGCCGTTTGATTGGTGTTACAGTTGAGCACTAAACAGAAACTAGAAAATTTGTTTATGAATTCGGGAATGACCCAGTTTTCAAATGGGTTGCTCACTAACATTTGGAACCTTACTGCCAAAGCTGTTTCTGGTGATGGTTAGGTTCTTCAAGTTGAATCATGTAACATATGTAGTGAATTGTATTTGTAGGTTTAGGGACAAGAAAGAAAAAAGAAACGATGACAGAAGATTCATTTTAGCCGGGCGGTGGTGGTGCACGCCTTTAATCCCAGCACTCGGGAGGCAGAGACAGGCGGATGGATCTCTGTGAGTTCGAGACCAGCCTGGTCTACAGAGCTAATTCCAGGACAGGCTCCAAAGCCACAGAGAAACCCTGTCTCGAAAAACCAAAAAAAAAAAAAAAAAAAAAAAAAAAAAAAAAAAAGAAGATTCATTTTATTTTTTAGAATCGAAGCAGCTCTCAGTTGAGTATGGCAAAAGCATGCTTTTGGTTAACCTGATCAATTGCAATTTTTCTTTTATATTTATAATTATTTTGCATGTGTAGTTATTTTTCTTTTATATTTACAGTTATCAGCTATATTGTATGTTTGTCACATGCACCTATGAATGTCAAAAGACAACTTTAGGAGTCAGTTCTCTCCTTTCTCCATATGGGCCCTGGGGACTGAACTCAGTTCCTCAGGCTCAGCAACAAATGCCTCTACCTACTGCTAAGCCATCTTGAAGCCTCCTCTACCCAATCAATTAAGATAATATAGTTGATGGAGCACATAGTCTGTGTAAGCTACTACTTTAGGAAACGCAAAGGATTCAAGGACAAGACAGCCACAGAAGTTGTGAGATAGCCTGAAGTGCACATGGCATTGGGGACACATGTTGAGAGACAGGGCTTACAGTCTGAACTCTTTGCCTAGGAATGGGAGGGATGAATGGGCTGGGTGTGAAGGTGGAATTGATTTACTGTTGCAGGCACTTGGGTTCCCACGATTCTTCATGCAGTCCTTGTAGCACCTCCCCTCCTGCTTTACATCACTCTGTCTCCCAGGGTACTGCTGTGCTCTTCTTAGCCAAATTTCAGTTTTCATTGTGAAGACTCTCTTATCTGATGGGGAGGAGAGAAACATTCTTACTAGACACATTCGGACATTTGATATTCAGGAGCGATTCCTGTCAACTGTTGTAAGACGCCAAGAATACCAATGCGATTGTCTCACTGAGACAGTTTGAGTGACAGGCTGTCTCACAGAGTCACAGATAGTCAATGCGCAGATGTAATGTTTTTTCGTGGTTTACTTTCTGGAGGCCAGGGCTGGATCCAAGACACTGTACATGTTAAGCATGCCCTGTCATTCATTGATACATGTTGGATGTCAGTGTGCTGGACTTGGGTTTCGCTGGTAAGGGGAATTCAGAGAGATGAGAGGGACAGAACATGAAGTCGCAGAGCTTATGAAGTTCCAGTAACCTCTGAGGAATATAATGAAGATGGTAGCCCCCATTGGCCTGCGTATCTCCATCCATTAACGGTTGCCTTCTTGCTTTCTCTGACATATTTCCAGTCTGATAGACTTCTTGCAGAGTGACCAGCTAACTCATGACCTTGGCATGGTACTGTTCTTTGCCCTGAATTTCTCTTATTCCACATGTAGGTGTATGGTTCATTGCACCACCCCACTGATGCTTTGGATTAAGCGGCACATTGTATCTTCCCCAGAAGGACTTTCTCCACCGCTCTGAAGACTTGTTCTGCTTTCCCAGGGAGGACTTGCCACCATGTTTAAGGGACATTGTAAAGGGAACACCTATTTCTTTGTCTTCCTTCTTGACACAAGCACCAGCCCTCATAATTGGATCTAAAAACAAATCTCTGTATTGTTTGTCTTAACCTCTTTCCTCTTCCACCCACTAGCATTAAAGCCTGCAGGGTAAAGATTTTTCTTTTCTTTTTCTTTAATTCCGGTGTCCTTAGTACCTAGTTCAGTGCCTGGCATACAGTGTGATTAAGCCGTAGTGAATGGATGAGGCGACGGTGATGTCGTCAGCTTTATTTCTGTGGGAAACTAAAGTGTGAGGGTTCCTTCAGAAAGAATAAAGACCTGTTAATAGTGTCGATGGGTTTGGTGAGTGCTGGTTACCTAGAGAGATGGAGATGAAAGGTATTTCCACCTTGACTTTGCTGACAAGTATAGAAATGTGTCTTTGTGGGGCAAGGGGTTGGCACCCTATAGGCTTAGTGAGTTGTCTCCGGTTGTGTGAAGAAAGCTGGGGCTATTATAAACGTACTTTGGGGACTTCTGGAACATTCCTGGTGTGGTAACAAACTGCGATCACCCTTTTCCGCTGCTCTCCCAATGACTATACGTAGACTTGGAGGAGATGCAGGTCTGTGAACTGAGAAACCAAAATAGTGACATTTGCATTAGGCCGCCATTCAGTTTTGAGGAAGAAGCAAATTACATTGCTTGAAATTAATACATTTTTAAAATTTAGGAGTATTAATGCAAAAATGCCGTACCAAGGAGATGAAAAACCTGGGAAAATACTACATTGCTGCATCCTATGTGAAGTACTTGGAGTCCGCAGGTGCGAGAGTTGTACCCATAAGGTATGCTTCTGGGATTTCTGCCAAGGGTGTAAAGAGTCGTCTTTTGTCTCTAAAATGACTTTCCTACGATTGCATCATTAAATGGAACGATGTTGCCTTTGATTTCAGCCATAAACTTATTGCCTGTAGACTCCCATTAAGTTGTTTTTAAAGTTCTGTGTGTCTATAATGTCACTGAATGTCTGCTATATGTCTGTTAGCATTGAGAAGCGCATGATCGCTTCCTTCACCCCAGAAAAGACATTCCTCACAGACACCATAAAATCATAGTAGAATCTCCAGTTTAGTCAGCTTCCTGCTGACTACTAGCATAAGGGAACACTTCAGGAATGAAGGACATATTTTAGAAGATGACTATAAATATACTTTCCCATCTGCTGAAAGCTTGTCAGTGATGACTGTATTAGTATTGCTGTAGGGTCAATGAGAGGTATTTTAGTTTTAAAGGAGTTCAGTTCGGGATTGGAGACATGCCCCAGTGGTTAAGAGCACTTGATGTTGTTCTTCCAGAGCCTCCCTGACCCTGTGTAGGGCAGCTCACAACCACCTGGAGCTTTAGCTCTGTGGATCAAACTCACATGCGTGCATGCACACAAACACACACACACGCTTAAAGAAATATAGTAATAAAAACACCTTTACAAAAGTATTTATTTTATGATAATATGACTGAGAAAAATAACACAATCTTATACTTTCAGCTCAAAGGCGTTGATTTAATCACTCATTTTTCACTTGAAAAAAAGTTAAACAAAAATCTAGTAAGCACACTTACTTTGTCAGCTAAAATCAGTGCATGAGAATCTTGTAGAATTCTCATCTAATCTATTGTGAAAATTCATGCACAAAACACTATTGCAACCTATTGTGCAAATAATTGCAATAAGGAGTTATAATTTATATACTATTAGTATTCAAAAGGCAAATATGATTTAGAGCAGTGGTTCTCAACATTCCTAATACTATGACCTTTTAATATAGTTCGTGTTGTGGTGACCCCTCGCTATTAAATTATTTTCTTTTGCTACTTCATAAAAGTAATTTTGCTACTGTTATCTTTCCTAATGTAAATATTTTTGGAGATAGCGGTTTACTAAAGGGGTTATGACTCACAGGTTGAGAATCTCAGATTTAAGGTTTTATAAAAAAAAAAAAACAGTCTTTATGTTGAGATTCCTAAGGATTGTCTTGTTTCACCTTTCACATTTGACAACTGTCTTTACCCTTAAGGTTCGTGTTTAATTTGTTGGTGCTGAATCTGATCTCATGTGAAATCATTTACTCAAGTTATAGAGCTGAGTAAGAGGCCCCCGAGAGTCTCCAGTACAGTGTTTCAAAGTTTATGGAAGTTTTAAACCCCTATTTCAGAGGTTGGTGCAGATGTGGGAAAGACACTGCAGAGCCATCACAGTGGGCAGTCCTGTCCAGAGGCTGCCGAGAGTGTGGGTGTGAAATAAAAGATGGGGGTGCCGCTGAGGTTATGAGTTGATAAGTGCGTGGCCTTAAAAAGCAATAAAAATGACGACTCATCAAATACAAGGGTGCAGAGAAAGAAATAGGTGGGAGTGATGGAAGCTGGGGAGTCTTGAAACCAGATGACTTGTGGAATATTAGCAGTTATGACAAGATACCCAAAACCTGATTGGCAGCATGTGGGCTAAACTCCAGCGCTGGCACTAAAGTTGATTTTCAGACTTACTGCTTGAAATTGGGATCATGTGATCCTGTAGTAACTATAATGTATGGGGCAGAAATTCTATATGTACAATGAAGAGAGTTTTTTGCAGCATTACTGTTAGATTGTTGCTGGGGCCACTTTCTGATTCAGAGGGGAGAAGAAGGTGGATGGGAGACCCGGGCAGAATTCAGCTATAGGTGATGCTTGACCTTGGTTTCAGCCCACCCTTTCTGATCACCTTTCTCAGGACATGGTGACTTGAGGTTGCCTTTCCCAACTGTGGGACTATTAGAAAAGACAGGGTCCTGAAAGATTGAACACCACAGCCCATCTATTTTAGAATATGCTCAGTTAGTTCACAAAGCATTTAAAATAGTTCTGAACATTTATAAATCAGAAGACTGAAGTTTTGGCTTTTGAAAATAGTTCCCCAGGTCTTCCTGTCAGTGGGAGAGCTGTTGCCATCTGGCACCGGTGACTCCATGGCTTTCCATGCCACTGAAGCTAGACTTGTGCCATCAGTATTGGGCTCATTTTGATTGTGGAGACAGAAAGCTATTTCTCATGAACTGTTGAGAAGGTTTTTAAAAATTTCTCTGATAGTTTCATGCATGTATATCATGCATTATGATCATACCATTCATTCCTACCCTTTTAAAAATAATAGTTCAAAGTTTCATTGAAATTTTCATACACATATACAATGTATCCTGATCATATTCACCCCTTCCCTCTTCCAACTTCCTGTAGGACTCCCAGCCCACACCAAGCGCATTTCCCTTTCAACTTCATGTCTGTTGAAAAAAATACATTTTTCAGCCAGTACATCCAATTAAAGGCTCATATTCATATCCATTGGGGCATGGACAACCTACCAATATCTCATAAGAAAAGTGACCCACCTCTCCCAACAGCCACCAACTGCCATCAGCTCCTTAGCTAGGGGTGGGGCCTTGGTAGCCCCTCCCCCATGTCTGCTGGAACTTTTAACTGGCTTGATCTTGTGTAAGTTTCATGCCTGTAGTCATAGATACTGTGAGTTCAGCCATGGGTTTTAACTATGCTTACAGTACCATTGATGAAAGCCCTCTTGTGGGAGAGGATTCAAATTCAAGCAAGGGAATGGTTGTTTATTCTCACAGACAGTCTTGCCACTATTGTTCCAGTGGGTGCATCTTTCTTGGCAGGTCTGTTATTTCATCAGTAGAATCTAGTGCTAGGTAAGACCGTTGGTGTCTTTCATCTGCCAGAAGCCAGCGTGGCATCTTTCAGTGCCAGGAAAGCTAGCCAGCAGGAGAACTTTCTGCTCAGTTCAAGACTGATTTCTTTGTGTCCTACAACCAAAGTGTATGATGTTGTAAGCAGCCTTGTCTTTTACTATTTCCTCCCACCCCTGCCAACCACCCTCTCATCCCAGCGAACCCCTTCCCATCTTCATGTCTGCTTTGTTTTTGTATTGTAACCCTCCTGGTTTAACCAGTGGACATTGTGTGGAGTTCTCCCCTGGAGCCTGTGTCGAAGTCCATCCCCAACATAAACTATCTGTCTGGACCCACATGGAGTCATGGGAATAAAGACACAACTCACATAGCTTTATTAGCAGGGAGATTCTTAGTGAATCCTCATGAAATCCTGAGTTCACATACTGAAAATTCCTCTGCATTTATTCTCCAAACAGCCATATATATCAAAACATAAACTGAGGGGGAAATTCATTAACATTCTGTTTCCCAGGTAACCAGGTGAATGGCTTTAGTCATGCCCACACCTTTGACCACACCTTTCTATGCCCATTTTGTCACATCTTTCTATCTTCCTGCTCTGTATGCCAGCTCTGTCATGTAGGCCGGAATTAGCATCTCTATCCCAGGCGTCCTCCAAATTACAAAGGAGCAGAACAACATCCTGCCCCTTTGTTAGGGTAGCGATAGCCTGTTTGGAAGGCTACATGACCACCTCAGGTGCCATCTATGGCTTGAGAGACTGGCTGCCATACCATATAGAAATATGGGCCTACAATCCTGGACAATTCAACAGTAGTTATACCACTGAAGACTTAACCTTCCTTCTCTAGGCAACCATGACTGCCTCTAGTTCTCAGGGGAAGGATGAGGTCCTCTGAGTCCTTTTTCCATACTGTCTGAACGCTCATTCGCCCAAGCTTGTGCAGGCTCTATGTAGACACCTGCAGCTGCTGTGAGTTCCTGGATAAGGAGACTCTGTCATATCCACAAGACAGCATCTTAGAGTCCTCCCTTTTGTCCTGCTCTTAAGTTCTTTAAGTCTCTTCTGCAATGTTCCCTGAACTTTGGAGTGACCCCAGTATCCTGTTTAGAGCTGGGCATTCAACAGTCACTCTCATCACCTTGGTTATGAGTTTCTGCATTAATCACCATTTGCTGTAAAAATGAAGCTTCTCTGACCAAGGCTGGGGGCAGCACTGGTCTATAGGTGTAAATAAACATTTTGGGAACAGTTTGACAACATGTCCATTTAGTGAAACAGAAGAAGCAGGTTTACTCTTAGAGCCTGTGATCTCCCCAGCCATGGGCCTTTGCCCGCACCCATAGCACCAGGCATGAACGTCCTTTCGTCCTTTAGAGTAGCCTCACATTGAATTAGAATGCAGTTGGTTATCCCGCAACAGCCATGCCATGACTGCACCAGTGGACAGTCCTGCCTAGCAGACTGGTACTGCAGTCTGTAAGATTCTCAACTGAGATGATTTTTCTTCTCTAGCTTCCTGCATACTGCCTTTTGGCACCAGGAAAGCCAACCAGCAGGGAGTAAACTTTCACATTAGTTCAAGCCTGATTTCTTTGTGTTGTGCAATTAAAGTACATGGTGTCTTAAGCAATAGGGCCAGTGGGCAACCTGACGAGAATTTTTGTGTTTAGAAACACCTGACAGGAAGCAAATGACCTCTTTGTTCAAATCATGCCTTGTTTCCCCTGGCATTTTCTTGAGACAGGTGTGTTCATGTCACACTCCGCAACCATGTGGCCTATTAATAGTGAGGAGCAGGGTTAACGCATAGTCACACATGGTGTGGAGGCCACTTGGTTAGCCGGCTAGGGGGCTTTGGTATGCAGCTGGTGGTAGTGACTGCCAATCGTGGTCCATGAGGGAGATTCTGAGGTTTGTGGGACAGTCTGAATTGTCAGGATACTGAGAGCACGTGGGCTCACATTTTCCCTCCTTATCCACCCCAAGGCACAGTCACCCGGTCAGTTAATCATTCTGTAGGAGTTTCACTGATGGCTTTGAGGCTCTGAACCAAAAAGAAGTTTACTATGACTTTGGAATAACCCACGTGGATTTCAAGAGTTTGCTGCGACTTGGAGGAGAGCCAGGAAAGTTTCCTGGCAGAGCATAGGCACATGCTAGGAATTAGAGCTCCCTTGGTAGCAACAGGAGCCATGTTCTCAAGTCACCTGTATCCACCTGTATCTCTTTCCCGGGGCAGAAATGGACCACATTCTACTGAGGAGTGCAAGCTTTTATCACTCTGTGTGCGGACAGGTGTGTGGAGAGGTCTTGTAGAAACAGTGTCGGAGAGTTATTGTGTTTCATACACACTTTCTACAGATGTCACACTGTGATTTAATTAAAAGTTGTATGTGGATTAGTTTCTTTGGATTTTCTCTGGGGAAAAGAAATAAAATCATAAGCAATATGGTGATTGCTAAGAAATCTTGTAAGGATTCTTGATCAAGTATGCTTCAGAATAACTGAGCCAATCCCAGAGGTCTGTAAGTAGTGTGTCGTTAGATCTGGATTGTTCTGGATTTCAAGTAGAGTCCTCAGTCCTTTGCAGCTGGTTGGAGGGGATGAGTTGTTGGGATTTGGTGTCCATACTGTTTCCATTTCTCCAAGCCACCTGTAGGGAAGATGTGTGATAGTAAAGCTTTTTAAAAGATGTATTTGTGTGTGTGTGTGTGTATGTGTGTGTGTGTATGTATGTGTGTGTGTGTGTCCCGTGCGCATAGGCGGGTACTCACAGAGGCCAAAAAGGGTGTAAGAGCTATATCTGGAGTAACACAGTAACCCGTGACGTGTGTGAACAACTGGACTTGGATGTTCTAGAACAGCAGTAAGAACTTTATACTGTTGAGCCATTTCTCCAGCCCCATAAAATTTTCAAATTTTTTGTCTTTATATAAAATGGCTGAATATTTTTAGGTTTCTTGGTTAATAGATATTACTAGTGTCCAGTGTTTGATTATATTAGCATCTACTTTAAAATTTGAACGTAATTAATCCCAGAAAAACAGATTAACATTTCTGATTAGCTACACTGGGTATAATCCTGTGGTTTTCATAGCTTGACAAGAATACCTCTAGTGTGGAAATGAAGTATTGTCTGATATTTAGGTAAAAGTGTTGTAGCACTTGCCCTGTATGTTCAAGGCCTTGGGTTCAATCTGCAATACCTAAAAAGACTTAATTTTTTATTTAAATGTTTAAAAATTAAGGTGGTGACTTCTTTTTTCTTAGGCTTCAGAAACGATTTCCTTTATAAAACTTTTTTTTTAAATTATTTTCAGGCTCGATCTTCCACTTACACAGTATACAGAACTTTTCAGATCTATCAATGGGTAAGTTGGCTTGATATTGTATCAAGTCTTAATACAGTGTGTCAGTGTGCACATATTAAAGTTTTCTGATAACTTCCCAAGTGCTTCTGTTGGCTGTTTTGAAGGGAGATGTAAAGACGCAGTGAAGAATGAGAGGTAGGACAAGACCTGGAGGCTGAAGCCTGTACTGTAATTCTAGTTCTCTGGGAGCCCGAGAGAAGAGAGCAGAAAGTTCACCAGTCTGAGAAAGAAAAGACAAGAAGGCCGGGAGTGCAGCCCAGTGGTAGAGGACTTGCCTGGTCCGTAAGGTTCAGGGTTAGTCATAGTCCTGAGCAGGAAGCAAGTAATTGTTACTTATGGGACCCATGATATTTAACTTAATTTTTGTTTAAGTGCCTAAATATTTTGAAATATCCAAGTCCTATGTCTGAGGTTACTGGTTGATCATCTTTGAGAGGTAATTTGAATAGTTCTTAAAAAATTTCTCTGCTTCACTATAAAATATGTGAGTAGTTAGCCCATAAAGCGGGAATTGAAATCCAGTGAAAACTACTTTTCGTTGCTTTCAGCTTGAGGAGTTGTGTTAAGACACCTAGGAAGTTAAGACACTGACATCCTCCCAGAGACTGACTCCCTCTCTACAGCACAGACTCTGAAAGCTGGGCACTAGATTGGTGAAAATTACACTAGACAGTTGTAATTTACTGTCTCTGAATGGAAACAGAAAAAATAAAGTATAACAATGTAAGCTCAAAAATACTTTCCCTGAGGTAACGTGGAGTGAACTTCACACTGTCTTATGGGAGAACACATACCAGACAAAGTATGGAGCCTGTGCTCAGGGAGAATGTTATCTGGGGATGTTGGGCCAGTTTTACTGTATAAAGAACTATAAGGTCCCATGAATTGGGTGTGGTCAGAGGCAGCTTTTAAAATACGGGGTTAATGGGGATTGGTCTCCTCTAGTCATCCAGGGTTTCCTGCTGTGGTCTGGAGTAGTGTTTCAACACAGACTTAGTTTCCTGACAATGGAAACCAGTCTTGTCACAGGCTGGCGCCAAGCCTGAATCATAGAAGAAGAATAATGTATTTCTTCAATTCAAAAATGGCCTCTGGCTGGTAAGAGGGCCTAAATGTACTTGTCACACAAGCCTAGTGAGCTGAATTCGTCCCCACATGTGGAAAGAGAACACATGTTCTGTGTTCATACACTTCTCTCTCTAACACACACACACACACACAGAGAGAGAGAGAGAGAGAGAGAGAGAGAGAGAGAGAGATAAATTCAAAATAAAAGACTAATATTACAAATTCATATTCAAATATTTTTAGAACTTTAATATGTTTAGTCCAACTTTTGTTGGCCAGAAAAGCCAGATCACTTTTGAATAGCCTTTGCTATCTCAAGGATATATTAAAAATTATTGTATTTTCAATATAGTGGTTATTTCAATATGTGTTAAAGAATTAAAACATTTAACATTAATCTAAAAACCTGATATAAAAGCATCATAATTTTTTGTATATTTTATTTATTTGGGTAGAATGAAAAGAAATCTAACATTTGTGAATTATCTAAGACTTCTGAGAATGACAATTTTGTGGATTTTCAGGATTTCCTAATACAATGCTCATTTCTTTCTTTCTGTGTGTGTGTGTTTTGAGACAGGGTTTTTCTGTGGCTTTGGAGCATGTCCTGGAACTAGCTCTTATAGACTAGGCTGGCCTCGAACTCACAGAGATCTGCCTGCCTCTGCCTCCCAAGTGTTGGGAATAAAGGCGTGCGCCACCACCACCCAGCTCTGTGTTTATTTCTTAAGAATTGTCAGGACTGTGAAGAAGCAAATTCTTGTAGACATTTAATTCTAATCAAAGTAAATGTTCTGGTTATTATGTGCTTTGTAGTCTTATTCTCTCTTGGGACTTAAAATAGATGTGTATTTATAGTTGGCTTGGCCTTACTGATCACCTTAATCATAGCCAGCCACACCTGGAGATTTGCTTCTTCGTCTCCACCCTCTTCAGTCTCTCTCCCTTTATTTTTTCTGCTTTTGTTTTGTTCAGATTATATTTTGTTCAACGAGCTTGTTTATTAAAGTTTTAAGAGAATATGTGCAAAATTATTAACCACAATAGTTTCTGAATGGCTAGAATTATAAATATTATATATGTATACTTGAGTATATGTATGGTAATTATGTAATAGTAATAATGACATTTTTAAATGAAGCATATTTATTTACTTGGTGAATGGAGAAAAATATATCTTAATTGATTTTGTTTCAGAATCCTTTTTCCTGGAGGAAGTGCTAGCATCTCACAGTCAGAGTATTCCAATACAGCCAGAATATTTTTCAACAAGGCCATAGAGGTGAATCTGCTACTGCTTATCACTCCAAATGGGTTGTCTCTTTTCATAAAGATGATTATCTTTCATACAGTATATAGTCTTGCTTCCTTCACAGATACTCCAGCCTTATTCCCCTTAGTAGTCAGACATGTGCTATGCAGGAATCAAGTGTCTGTTTCAGCCTGTTATTTTTGTTTCATGTAATTTAGGGATTCTAGGAGTGAGCCACACCTCGTAGCTAGTAGAGCTAGTATCAGAGCTAGTACAGCTTGTCCCTCTCTTTGATCTGTTCTTTTATGTACCGGGTGTGATGCCTGCACTACTAACTACCCTCTTCTTGGTTGTTCCATCCAGCTTCACCCTTCTTCAGAGCCACATGTTGACACCAGACACAACTCACGCTAGAGAGGTTTTATTCTGAGCCAAGTACAAGTCAAAGATAAAGAGTTATAGAACAAAAGGAGTTTAAAAACTGGTTTGCCAAGTTGATGGTGACACACTACAGTAGAGCAGACAGGTCTCTTATGTGAGCTTCAGGTGCTAGCTTACAAAAGTTTTAGCTTTAGGGCTGAGGAAAGCCAGATATTTGCTATGTTCAGCATTGTATTTCAAAGACGGTAGCTAATAGTAATAAACATATCAAGTGAGGCACAGAGGTTGGTAATAAATGCCTATTAAAACAGATTAAAGATAGCTCAGGATAATTCGGGCTCTTAGTCTGCAGCATGCTGTCTCGACACAGGCACAAAGTTCTAGTTAGTCAGTCTAGACTCTGCAAGACACATGTGGCTTTATCAGAGAACTTGAGTTCACATATGTCGGGCCCTGTCTGTTAGCCATGCAGAGCCCGTAGCCACTATACATGCCTCACCTTGGACTTGCACTTCTGCCATAGTTTCTTAGATTCCTGTTTCTCCCTTAAAATATTGTTAGCAATTTTTCATTTATTGTTTCTGGCCTCTCCTAAACATTTTCCTCAATAACAACTCTTTTGAGATACTTGCTTAATAACTTTTACTGGCTAGACTAAATAACTCATGGCCTTTTAAACTCTTTGGGTCAAGACATAATGTGCCTACAACTGCCTTTTTCCAACCTGCCTCAGAGTATTTCTGAAGACAGATTAAGTGTAGCCTACTTATGAATCCCAGAAAATTCTACAGAAATCTGTGTTGCAGTAATAACAAGCAATAAAGTGCAGTTCTTGTTAGAGACAGATGACAGACAAAGACATACCTGCAAAGTTTGAATGAACATAGTTTTCTCTTTTATTCTCCCAAAGAGTTATGACGATGGAGACTATTTTCCTGTGTGGGGAACATGCCTTGGATTTGAGGAGCTTGCTTTTCTGGTTAGCGGAGAGAACTTACTAACGCTTACAAACACTGTCTCGGTGCCATTGCCATTGAACTTCACTGAAGGTAAAAATACACTCCAACTCTTCTAAAAATATTTCTCAACAGCACTAGTAAACACTGAGTATCAAGTCAGAAATATTTATTAGTCTTTGAAGTGTTTGGCGACCAAAGCCATGAATTCACCCTGTGACTCATTTGTGGAGATGACAGGAAAGCTTGTCTTTTGATAACTAATATATTGCTTCCATTGGTCTCAGGATCATGTGATTAAGAATTCAGAAACAATCAGCTTCTCTTAGTCTCATGTCTTTTCACTGAAAAAGCTTTTACCTCTAGAAATTCTTTCTGAGAATTAATCAAAATGATGATTTCCAGTTTGCATGTGTAATACTTAAAGTACAAATCTTATAAGTAGATATTATTGTTCTCATGTCAGAATTCTCTCTTTGTCTACACATGTTGTTTTTGTCTTGAATGTATTATAGTGCAGTTTTATTCTGGCACTAAACACTTGGAATTAGCAAGACTTCACAAATTAAAGGGCTCAGTGCCCAACAAGACCATTGTGTTTGTGTGCTACCGAAAGACAAATCAC